AACCAAAATCAAATTTTTGTGGGGGTGGGGAATTACATATCTCAACCATGACATAATTGTGTCTCCTTTTTTCCTTTGGGCAAACTACTGCAATACATCAAATATTCAACCAGTTTATGCTGTAAAATCTACCATTGCTTGTAAGTTACACATCTTCATTCTATGCAGGTACTTACATCTGTTGCCTTCTTCTCAGTCTGTTCCAGTTTTTCCTGAGCATCCTTAAGATTTTCTGAGTATTTATCCAGTTCATCTTCAGTTCCTTTCAACTTCTTTTGCAGTGCCATCAGCTCATCCTCTACCTTTTGAGAAAGAAAAGTAAGTTGTGAACATTTTGGCTGCTCTGCTTATTGACAAGGTTAGCCAAAGACATCTCCCTACTCTTTGTTTTAAATCATCGGTAAGATGTTAAAGTGATGCTGTGGAGAGAGATCTAATTGTGGGTTTTTCAAAGTCCCTATGTAACTTCAGTTGTTTAGATGCCAAGTAGCATGCACAGTTTTACCTAATGTGGCTGTTGAGCAGGCTGTTTGGCATCCACACAATGGAGTTCAGAAACCATGCTATGCCCATGTTTCTAAACCAAAAACCTCACCAAGGGGGGGAAATATTTAAAATGTGCATTTCCAGTCTTAAGAAAAGACAAAGTGGTGACCTAATAAGTCTTCAAATATGTTAAGGGCTGTTATAAAGAGTATCATACTCTGCTGTCCTCTCTGCAGGAAGAGAGATCTAGATCAGATATTAGGAAAAACTTTCTAACTATAAGGGTAATGAAGCACTAGCACTAGCTTTCAAGGAAGGTTGTGGAATCCCTGTCATTAGAGGCTTTTAAGAAAATGTAGACAAACACCTGTCGGGGATGGTCTGGAATAGATGTACCTGGGCCTGCTTCAGCGCAGAGACAGTGCTACATTTCTATGATCCTATAATTCAGCTGTTGTAAGTAGCCATGACTCCATATATTTCAATTTAGCTATGATAGTGCACACAAGTTGAGAATCTGACTCCATATGTCCAGGAATAGAGAAACCTCTTTATCCTGCCCTGGTCTAAAATAAAAACGCTAGCACAGCATGCTTCTCCTCAGGGAAGGCCGGGCCAAACTTGTCCCCATCACTGGAATTCTACCTACAGTACTGCCACTGTATCTAGAAATGGGTGACAGGAGAGGGATCACATGAGGATTCCCTGTTCTGTTCATTCCCTCTGGGGCATCTGGCATTGGCCACTGTTGGAAGACAAGGTATTGGGCTAGATGGACCTTTGGTTCTTATGATAATAAAGAAAAATTCATATTCATATGAAAAATGCACTGTGCCCAGTGTACCTAAGTTCAGGGAGATTTTTTATTAAACATAAATTTGAAATGTTATTAAAAAATAAATTCTATGTTTGTCCTTTACGGTACGTCTAGACTACATCTGTTTGTAGGAAAAAGCTACGCAAAATGCGCTCTGCATTTTGCATAGCTTTTTCGGATACTTTTGTCGGAAGAGGCTTTTCTGACATTTGGCCCATCTACACTGGATCAAATGTAAAAAAAAAAACCTCTTTTGAAAGCCCCCATCTTTGTAGAACGAGGAATCCAGGGGCTTCCAAAAGAGTGCATTTGCTCTTCCATAAAAAAAAGCAGAAGAGCAAACATGTTCCCTGGACATGGTGGAGTTCTTTTGGGATACCTCTTGTATC